ACCCTAAACAGGATCTCTATGAGTCAGAACCGACTCAACAGCACTTAACAACAGGAATGACAACAGTCACATTGTAGGCATATTCAGAGATTGTTAAAATTATTTCTCAACCAAACTCATATTTCCAATCTTCACTTAAGACCACTATGGGGCTTGGGTATGGTCACAAGTTCTAATCTCTGAAAAGACACAGTGGCTCTGTTGTGTTGTTGTTGTTGTTGTTAGGTGTCATCAAGTCAGTTCCAACTCATAAGGACCCTATGAAACACTGCCAGTCCCACATCAAACTCACAACTGTTGTTACGTTTGAGCCCATTCTTGCTGCCACTGTGTCACTCCACCTCATCGGGGGGTCTTCCTTTTTTTTGCTGATTCTCTATTTTACCAAGCATGCTACCTTTTTCCAGGGACGAGTCCCTCCTAACAGCATGTCCAAAGTACAAGAGACAAAGTTTCACCATCCTTACTTTTAAGGAGCAATCTGGCTGCACTTCTTCCAAAACAGATTTGTTCATACTTTAGGCAGTCCATGGTATATTCTTCGCCAACATCAGAATTCAGATTCATAGAAACAGCTATGATCTTCCTTATTTATTGTCCAACTCTTACATGCATATGAAGTGATTGAAAATACCATGGTTTGGATCAGATGCATGTTATCATCAAAATGATATCTTTGCTCTTCAACATTATAAAGAACTACTTTCCCTACTTTGGTCACTTGCGTGTTGCTGTGATGCTGAAAGCTATGCTACAGTTACTTTAAATACCAGCAGGGTCATCCATGGTGGACAGGTGTCAGTTGAGTGTCCAGACTAAGACAGGCTAGGAAGAAGGAGAGGCAGATTCAGTTCTGTATGTACAGTCAATGTAAACCTTCTGATTCTCAGCAGAACCTTGTCAGATACAGTACCAGAAGATGAAATTCTTATAAATAACTCAAGAATATTTATTGTCAGATATATTGCTGGAGGATGAACCTCTCAGGTTGGAAGGCACTCAAATGACTGTTGGGGAAGAGCTGCCTTCTCTAAGTTGAGTTAACTCTGATGACGAGAATGGAGTAAAACCTTCAGGACCTTCACAGAAACAACTCAAAATGAGGAAAAACAGCTGTAAACGTCCATTCATAATCAGAAAATGGAATTATGAAGTATGAATCTAGGAAAATTGGAAGTTGTCAAAAATGAAATTGACGGCATAAAAATCAATATCCTAAGCATTAGTGAGCTGAAATGGTCTGGCATTAGCCATTTTGATTCTGACAACCAATGCTGGGAACAACAAATTGAAGAGTATTGGTGTCACATTCATCATCAAAAAGACCATTTCAAGATCTATCTTGATGCACAATGCTGTTTGTGATAGGATAACATCCATGTGCCTATAAGGAAGACTAGTTAATACCACTATCGCTCAAAATTACACACCAACCACAAAAATCATGATGATGAAATTGAAGAAATCTACCAATTTCTTCAGTCTGCAATTGATCACACATGCAATCAAGATGAACTAATAATTACTGGTGGTTGGAATGCAAAGATTGGAAATAAACAGGAAGGACCAATAGTTGGAAAATATGGCCTTGGTGATAGAAATGATACTAGAGATCACATGATAGAATTTTGCAAGATTGATGACTTCTTCATTGCAAATACCCTTTTTAAACAACATAAAGATGACTACACCCATGGACCTCACAATATGGAATACACAGAAATCAAATTGAATTCATCAGTGGGAAGAGATGGTGGAAAAGTTGCATATCATCAGCCAAAACAAGGCCAAGGGTCAGACCATCAATAGCTTGTATTTAAGTTCTGAGTGAAGCTTAAGTAAATTAAAATAAGTCCACAAGAGCTAAAATATGAACTTGAGTATATGACACCTGAATTTAGAGATAATCTGGAGAACATATTTGATGCACTGGACACTAAAGACTGAAGACCAGAAGAGTTGTGGGATGACATCAAGAACATCATACAGGATGAAAGCAAAAGGTCATTAAAAATACAGGAAAAGAAAGAAAAGACCAAAACGGATGTCAGAAAAACTCTGAAACTTGCTCTCCTGCATAGAGATGCTAAGAAATGAGAAAAAATGAGGAAGTAAAAGAACTGAACAGAAAATTTCAAAGGGCAACTCAAGAAGACAAAGTCAAGTACTATAACAAATTGTGCAAACATGCTCAGTATTTCTCAAACTGAAAGAACAGAAGTCAAAATTCAAGCCTTGATTTGAAATATTGAAATATTCTATGGGCAAAATATTGAATGCTGCAGAAAGCATCAAAGGAAGACAGAAGATATACACAAAGTCACTGCACCAAAAAGAAATGGTCGATGATCAACCATTTCAAGAGACATCATATATTCAAGAGCCAATGGAAGTCCAAGGTGCACTGAAAGCATTGGCAAAGAACAAGGCTCTGTGAATTGATGGAATTCAAATTGAAATCTTTCAATAAACTGATGCAGCACTGGAGGCACTCACTCATCTATGCCAAGAATTGTGGAAGACAACTACCTGGCTAATTGATTAAAGGAGATCCATATTTGTGCCCATTCCAGAAAGAGACGACCCAACTGAATGCAGAAGTCATTGAACAATATCATTAATATCACATGCAAATAAAATTATTCTAAAGATAATTTTAAAAGCAGCTGCAGCAGTACAATGACAGGGGACTTCCAGACAAGGGCGTGGAATGAAGGATATCATTCCTGATGTTCGATGGATCTTGGTTGAAAGCAGAGAAAACAGAAAGATGTTTACTTGTGCTTTATTGACTACGCAAAGGCTTTTGGCTATGTGGCTCATGACAAACTATGGACACCATTGCAAAGTATGAGTATTCTGGAACACTTTTGTGCCCATGAGGAATCTGTACATGGACCAAGAGGCAGTGGTTTGGGAGACTGAATGGTTTATAATCAGGAAACATGTGAGCCAGGGTTGTATTCTTCCACTATACTTATTCAATTTGTATACTGAGCAAATAATTTGAGAAAATGGATTATATGAAGAAAAACGTGGCATCAAGATTGGAGGAAGACTTATTAACAACCTACGATATGCAGATGATACAACCCTGCTTGTTGAAAGTGAAGAGGATTTAAAGTACTTACTGATGAAGATCAAAGATCACAGACTTCAGTATGGATTGCATCTCAATGTAAAGAAAACAAAACTCGTCACCCCTGGACCATTAATGGCATCACGATCAATGGAGAAAAGGTTGTGGTACTCCAAGACTACCCTTGACTCCACCCTCAGTACTCACGGAAGCAGCAGTCAAGAAACCAAACGACATACTGCACTGGGCAAATCTGCTGCACAAGTCCTCTTTAAAGTGTTGAAGAGCAAAGATGTCATTCTGAGGACTAAGGTGCATCGGACCCAAGCCATGGTGTTTTCAGTAGCCTCATATGCATGCGAAAGCTGGACAGTGAATAAGGAAGACCATAGAAGAATTGATGCATTTGAATTATGGTGTTGGGGAAGAATGAAGTAGCATGCACTGCACAAAGAGCAAACAAAGTTGTGTTGGGAGAACAACTTTTTGTTTCATTCTGTTGTGCATAGGGTCACTATGAGTTGGAATCAACTTGACAACACCTATCAACAACAATGTGCAGCAGATTTGCCAAATGTAATGTTTTGTTTGATTTCTTGACTGCTGCTTTCATGAGTGTTGATTGTGGATCCCAGCAAAATGAAGTCATTGACAATTTCAGTCTTTTCTCCGTTTATCTTCATGTTGTTTATTGGTCCAGCACCCCAAGAGCAGTTCTTACCACCCCCACTTCTGAAAGTCAGGGTTCCTTCCCCGATCCCACTCTCATGCCCAGTGAAGAAGTTAGAATGAGAAGGAAAGTCCATGGGCTTCAGTGTCCAGCTCAGGCCAGACAGACCCAAGCTGAACAAGGGCCCACAGTGAGTACAAGTACTAACTCACTCTGGCCCAGTGACAACAGACAACATGATCCCAACCTCGTGGACCTCACACTCTAGAAGGTCCTGTGTGTCTGGACCAGGCAGTGATTTTGCAAATGCCTGCAGGGCCCAGCCCAGTTCCCAAAGGTGGATGGAGAGGCCACCTCCATGTCTGATTCTACAATCAGACAGAAAGGAAAGCTTTCAACAGGATTAAAGTTTGGCAAAACAAAAGGACAAGAGGAAAATGTCAACCAGGCAGTGAAATCCAATCTCAATTTCTGACAAATACAGGAACTCAAATTCAATTTCAGACAAATATAGCAACTGTTTCTGACTACTGAAGTGGTGCAGTGGGTTGGGGATAGAACTTGAGGTTAACAACCTCAAGATCAGAGGTTCAAAACCACCAGCCATTCCCCAGGAGAAAGATGAAGCAATCTGTTCCCAAAAAGATTTACAACCCTGGAAACCCTATGGGACGGACAGTTCACGTTGTCCTCTGAGGTCGTTACTAGTCAGAATAGACTAGACGGCCGTGGGTGGGTTCTGACCACCAGATGTACAATCGAGTTGTCTCCCTAAAGAGCTCTGTAAATCTCCTTTATTTATGCAAAAGAAGAAGAAAACTTCTTCACAGAACATGTCTGAATGGAAAACAATCTCGCTTTTGTGTCATGAAGATTTTCAAGTTCCTTTTTCAACAGGTGCAAACATACAGTCTCCTCTGAAGAGACATTCTTCTGCTGAACGGCTTCCACTTGAGGCCAGAGGATGGGAAATGAAACACAGCTTCCCCTTCTTTAGGGCAAACTGAAAGAAAATAAAACTGGAAGGGGATTTTGGTTTTCTCCCCACTCTGACCCTCTTTCCCAAACACATTTTGGTTCACTTCTGAATTTGTTCTGATGCTGGTTCAGTACTTTCTCTTGAGGAGATACAGAAGTTGTCCTCGCTGTCGCTGGTAGAAGGCATTTTCTTTCTCTTTTGTGGGAGAACAAGTGACATCTAAATACTGCTGTTTTTAGGAGTGCTGTCAGCCGCAGCAGATCGCGTGACAAATGACTCCCCCAAACTGCTCTGTCCACAGCGACGCGACAGAGGTATCGGTGGCCATCCTGCTGGTGGTGGAGTTCGGGTTGGGCTTGTTGGGCAATGCCATTGCCCTGTGGGCATTCTTCTTCCGCCTCAAGGTCTGGAAGCCTCACACAGTCTACCTGTTCAACCTGGTCATTGCTGACCTCCTGCTGACCATCTGCCTGCCCTTCCGCATTGCCTTCTACCTGAGACACAAGGTGTGGAGCTTTGGGCACAGGTCCTGTCAGTCCCTGCTCTTCCTGTTGTCCCTCAGCCGTGGGGTCGGGGTGGCTTTCTTGACTGCGGTAGCCTTGGACCGCTACTGCCGGGTGGTCCACCCTCGGCTCAAGGTCAACCTCGTTTCGCCTCAGTGGGCCCGGGTCATCTCAGGCTGTGTCTGGCTTCTGATGATGACCCTCACACACCAAAGTTTGTTCATCTCCAAGGCAGCGGGGAACACCACAGAATGCCGCAGCTTCGACCCCTCCGAGGAGTTCTCTTTGCGCATCATTTGGCAGGAGGCACTCTTCTTCCTCCAGTTTGTCCTCCCCTTTGGCCTTATTTTGTTCTGCAATGTTGGGATCATCAAGACACTCCAGAAAATTCTTCGGGACCCCGAGAAGCAGCCGAAGCTGCGGAGAGCAAAGGCCTTGGTCACTGCAGTAGTGGTCCTCTTTGGACTGTGCTTCTCACCCAGCTTCGTAGCCAGGATCTTGATGGACGTCTTCCGGAGGTCAGAAAGCTGCAGGATGCGGAGGATGGTGGAAAACACCTTGGACGTAGCCAGCAGCCTCAGCTACCTCAACAGCGTCCTCAACCCCATTATCTACTGCTTCTCCAACCCAACCTTCCGCTACTCCTACAAGAAGGTCTTCAACACTCTCCGAGGCAGACGACAAGAAGTGGAGCCTCCGGACTGTGACCCCAATGACTCCTATTCCTGAGGATGGAGCCCAAGCTGAACTGTCCCTCTTGGGAGAACTACTTGGTGTCTAGACTGTGGTAACTGTTAGCCTGGGGCTTTAGAGAAAGGGGCCTCTGTTGGCACCACACCGTAGACCTGGACAAACTGCTGGTGGGACAGTTGCAGGTTTGAGGATAGTCTGTGTTTACTAGGATTCCCTTCTGCTGTTTCATACTGGGGGAGCTCTGGAGGTTAGACGCTTGGCTCCATGGGAGAAAGATGAGGTGATCCCTCTGGATCTGAGATCAGATTTGACTCTATGGCAATGGTCTTGTTTGGTTTGGTTACTTCACACTATGAAGGGCACAATAAATCCACAAGCCAGAGCCACCTTCACTCAAAGTGGTGACACAGATGCTCAGTTCAGATCCGAACTCTATTGCACGTCCATACTTGAAGGGTCTCTGTTGAGGGGTCAGTCATGGATGAGAAGGTTGGGCAGCTAGAGAGGCTTTCACTTGCCTTGTTCTTGGCAAGTTGGTCTTCATCGTCTGGGCTTCTGTTTGTAGCAGCAGGTCAAATCCGATCTCAGCAACAAGCCCCTCATAGAGTTCCATGTTCTGTGCTCGCCTTGACAAAGCTTTGTTAGTTTACAGCATTTTCCTTTATTTGTATAGATCATGTTGAATCAAAGACACTATGGTTAACTCCCTACTTTATTAGGAGAAATCCCACAATCCCCCCAAAATGCCTCTAGAACTGTGGTTGCCTAGGTTTGAGCTTCTCCCTGCACTGAGGGAGGCCTCGGCACTGTGTCCCTGGGAAAAGACACCTGCATATCTGAGCCTCGTGTGAATGAGACCTTCCAACGCAGAGCCCCACGGTCTTACACACGGAGACACACCGGGACTCTCAGTGCAGGGAAGCAGGCTATAGCCAGAGAACCCCTTATTATTATGACAAGCACCCCATAAGCATTTATGTTGCTTGCTCCTTCAATTGGTAAAATCACCAACGTGATAAAATAGGTGTAGCATAGCAGTTGGCATTTCAGACCCTTTTGAGTGGACAGTTTTGTGTTAATCAGACTCACAAGACAGTGCTAGAATCACTACTTTCTGTTTCTAGATCTTTCTTTATCCCCCAAATGGACACGCTTTCCACTGAGAAGTAATCAGCATTTCCCTGTCTCTTCCTGGGAATCTCTACTTTGTGTTCCCAGGATGTACCAGTTCCGGTGTCTTTTTTGAGTGAGATCAGACTATAATTATCTCTCTGAGTCTTCTCAGGGGTCATGTATGAGACACACAGTACTGCCCCTCTCTGTCTGTTCCGTGTCCTATATGAGTGGCACGCATGGTCCTGTCCCTCTTTGTGTCTGCTCCATGTCCTATATGAGTGGGGCACACAGTACCGTACGTCTCTGTCTGTTCCATGTCCTATATGAGTAGGACGCACGGTACTGCCCCTCTGTCTAGCTTACCTTCTTCTGAGCATCATGTCTTCCTTGGCAATCTTCAGTCGACCGCTTCTGATGCATCTTGAATTTGTTTCTTAACCAATTTATGGCTGTTGGACATTTAAACCCTTAATACCCATGAGGGTGACATCCCGAAGGCTACTGATAGAGTTCCATTTCACTGTGGACCCTCTGAAGGCTCACACCCAGTCCTCAGTGACTTCCGTCCTTGCAGGAGCCCCCGATCAGTCCTGATTGTCTGTGGGGATCTGGCTTCCTCTCTAGCAATCTGCAGCACTTACCAACTCCCTCATCTTTGGGGATTGCTCCACTCTGAAGCCTCCTCTGCTCACTCTGAACTCCCGATACAGCATCACATGCCTAGGGTATCAGGGTAACACAAATGATTAAGCACTCGATTACTAACCGAAAGGTTGGCATCTAAAATCCACCCAGGGGTACCTCAGAAGTAAGACCTGGTGACCCCTTCTGAACGATCAGTCATGAAAGTCCAGTGAAGCCCAGTTCTGTCCACAGGGGGTTGTCATGATTCAGAATGGACCTGGTTGCCACAGCAGGAGCTCTGAAGGACGTGGGTGTTCGCATTCTACAGGGGCCCCTGGCCAACTCTAACACACGGCCAGTGTCAGGTCACTGAACCCTGACAGCGTGCTGCCCATCAAAGCCAGCTCTAGGACCAGGGCAAGCCCCTATCTCTTAGTCATAAGGTGGGAATACTGAAATGAAACCAACCACAGAGTCTGGTACTTGATAAACATTCAGTGGAGCCATCAGGGGGTTCCAGAACTGGACTTCTGATCACCAGGTTGGTGGTTCAAACTCAGCAGTCGCTCTGAGAGAGAAAGATGAGGCTGTCTGCTCCCATAGAGATTTGCAGTCCCAGAAACCCTTCGAAACAGTTCTACTGTGTCTTATAGGCTCACTATGTTGTTGTTGTTGTTGTTAAGTGCCATCGAGTCGGGTCCGACCCATAGCGACCCTGTACAGGGTTTCCGAGGTATGAGTAGGCGATTAATTGGGAATTGGGAACTGGGGGCTCTGGGTAACACAAACAGTTAGTGCACTGAGTTTCTCACCAAAATCTTGGAGGCTCAAGTTCATCCAGAAGAACCTCAGAAGAAATACCTGGAAGTCTACTTCTAAGAAAATTGTCCTTGAAAACCCCGTCTAGCAGAGTTCTCCTCTGGCACAGGTGGGGATGCTGTGAGTCCGAGTCCACTTGATGGCAGCAGTTTTAACTTCCATTATCTTTGTTTACAACCCCCAGCAGGCTGAGCGGTTCCCACCCACCCACTCAGCTCAGAACCAAGCATGGCTGGAAAAAGATGTTAAGAAGTCAAGAAATTGCTATTTTTGTTTCTTTCTAGTACACCTTCTTGGATCTTTAATAAATATTCTGTGGGACTCACGGGGTACTCCAACACATCTGAGAGATGACCCGAAATGTTTCCTTCCCGTTCAGTCCCGTGGTTTTTATAAACACCTCTCATTCTGCAGTCAGGCGATTTTCTTCTCAGGGGAGGGAGGAAGGGCTAAATTCTCATCCTTCCCTAAATTATTTCACCAAGTACATAAATGACTCACAAGGAAGGTATGTAAAGACAGCAGACAGTGGGTCTGGAGAATGCTTTTGCTGTATGTAGCAATTTTCAGTTTCGTTTCCCCTTACTCATTTCTTGTAAGAAAGCAGGGACACAAAGTTTTCTGAGAGTCTGGTAGAGTCAAGATGGCTCTGAAAGGAAAGATTCTAGTTCAAATGATGGCAGTCTCCTGTCTTTCAGTGACACTGCAGCTGTTTTAAACTCTGACCGCTCATCTTGTTACTTCTTCATCAAAAATCTAGTAGCCATAGAAGAATACTGATCAAAAGGGGGAAATAAAGAACAGAATTTCAAATTTTCATAGACTCTAGAATTTCTGGAGCTATGGAGGGTGGATGAACCCCTGAACCAATTGCCCTGCGTTCATCTCTAAAGCTGACACCAAAAATATTCCCTGAATTCTTCTTAAAAGCAATCGCTTAGCTCCACCAGTGCAGAATGTCTGCTGCTAGGACCCATTTCCACGAGATCAATTGGCCACCGCCACTTGAGAGATTAGATGTGAAATGTAGGGGGCAGTGAACTGATGTGATAGGGCCTGGGAGGCTACCTCAGGAAGGGAGGGTGAGAATGGTGGCAGACCTTCATCAATGAAATGACTGACACTGAACTGCACCTGTAGAAATGTTTAACTTGATGCATGTTCTGCTGCTTATATTTTCAACACCAACAAAATTCAATTACAACCTTTTAAATCCAGTAGCCAGCTGAGTATCCCTGCACCCTGAGAAGTCCTTGGTCTCCAGGTGTTGATGTTCTGCATGGACTATGCTCCAGTCTCCCTCTGTCTATGGACCCCGAGATCTTCCTCCAGGGTGAAGGCTCCCTGGCCCCATCGCCCCAACCCCAACACTGTGCAGTACACCTCCACACTCCTGAGACATATTACTTAGGCTCCGGTCTGCTTCCTCCTCGGTACCAAGTCATTTCAGGCTTACCCAAACCCTCTGGCATTGAGTCAATTCTGACCCCACATGACTCAGAGTGACATCCTTATCATTCTCCTGAGGAACGGTTGGTGGGTTTGAACCACCGACTTTGCAGCTAGCAGCTCAGCACTTAGCCCACAGAGTCACCAGGCCTCCTCCTTCCAGGCTGGGCAGTGTGAAGTCACCTTGAGTCTCAGCAGTCTGCCCAGGGCCTGGTGCACCAAGCCAAGCTTGCTAGAGCCACAGCCATCAGGTCGCTCCCAGGTGACAAAGCAGAATTGCTCTAGAGGGTTTTCTGGGCTGTTCCCTCCAACATTCTCGGCAGATGTCCTCCCCAGGTGCCCCCCCGCCCCTAGTACCTCATGATCGGGATGATAATGGAAGAGCACACTCAGTTCTTCTCTGTCCACGGTCCATGGGCATAGCTGCCCTCCCCCGTCCACGCATCTTAGGGATGCAACAGGCTCCCAGAAATCATTGAGTCGGTTCTCACTCATAGCAACCCTGGATACGGTTTCTAGGAAGTGGCTGGTGGATTTGAGCTGCTGACCTTGCAGTTAGCAGTCTAGCGCTAATCCTACAGCGCCACACCAGAGCTCCAACTCCAGCGTGCCTTTTCTAGGGGAAGTCTTTCTCTTTGTTGGTTCTGAGAATTGGTCCTTGTCTTCTTTCAACACCTGTGGGCTCCTTGGAGGTCTCCACGTGTCTGGTCATCAGTCTCCCCCGGGGTCTAGGAGGTTCTTAGCACGGGGACCTTGGGTTTAAAGATGTTCTCTGATCCCAGATCTTCTTTCTTGGTGGAATTCAGGCCCCTCCTGCTCTGTTGGCACCCCTCTGCTTTCATCTCTTGCAGGATCAAAGGTGACACATCCCAGGGAAACTCCCCTGATGTGGGACCAGGGCTGTGACCTGAGTAAGAGTATCTCATCCCAACTCAGTCCCCTGATTGGTTTCATCAGATCACATCATGGGGAATGAGGATTCCAGTCCTGCCAACTTGACACAACTCAATCCATGACACTTGATGGCA